ATCTCTCTGTTACGATAAAGTTTGAGTCTCAATCTATGCAATAACAGAGTTATTTTTAAAAAAGGATCAACAGAAACAGACTTCTATTCTTTCAAAAATCACGTGCAAAAATGGTGGTTATAGGCTTCGCGCACCATAGTAGTTACTTCTCTAAATCGGAAATCAAGTTCAGATCCATTTTATCACTTATTTTTTATTGCCAGAATGTTTGCCATGTATTGTAAAGTTACATTGCACTATATATATATGTAACATTTCAAATTTCCACTATGCTATCCACTTCAAAAAGAAAAAATTCTCCATTTTTCATAGAGCATGTGATTTTCAACCATAATAAAAGTTTTAGAGCTGGACTAAGAACCCTAATCTTATGGGATGGTACATTTGAAAAATACCCACCTTATTACCGTTTTTGAAAATAATTTACAAGATCATCACAAAATTTATCCTAATTAAGAAATGATATTCGATTTTGAAGCCATTTCTACCCAAAATTGAAATGTGCCATCTCCTAAGATAGTTCGGGAAACAACTTCCATTGTAGCATCATTGCTTGATTGAAGTGATATATTTCTCAGTGGAAATTTCCTTCTAACTTCATAAAAAATTATTGTTTAAAATAATTCTCTAAATTGATGTTCCATTTTACTATCATGTGAGCAGTATATTAGCTTTTATTATGTGTCAATTTGATATCTCAAGAAATACAATTTCATACATAGATGTTAGCCAAAATATTCTGCAATTCCCAATATTTTTTATATGAATGTATCTGGCTTACAATTCCCCATTTTTATTATTATGCAAACAGGCCTGATATTTTTGCTAATTATAATCTTTATGTTATAAAAAAATAAATTTGGTCAGATGTCCTTGAAGACTGTTTTTGCTGGAAAAGGTCCTCCCATACAGTGTTCAAAATTCGACTGTGTCTTAACATAAAACTAGTCTAAATTTAGAAACTATCTGCATCACATTTCCAGATTTGGTTAGCACATGCTGATTATGCTGATTGAATTTCGAACATTGGCCTCATATGCCTCATTTATATATACATGCAGCCCAAAGTATTTTGACACTGTCATAAAGGGGTTACACATGTAGTAAAGGGGTGTTACACTTATGTTTTTAATAGTGAGTGCCATAATTAATTTCTACTTTCTACCCTCAAAATTGGAATAATTTTGACCATCAAAATCACCAAACCAATTTGGGCTGCATGTATAGTCTGAACAAATTTTACCAGATGAATTAAAGAAGCAATATCAGCACATTCACAATCAATAACTTTTTATGAACCTCATAATAGAGGAAGTAATTTGGACAATTTACTAATATCAACATTTAAAAATTTAAAAACTTTATCATTAACAAATTGTTGATTATGGAATAAAAAATTTGAAAAATATTTCACTGCCGAATATTGAATCTGTGATTGTAAATAATATTACATATCAAACAGACCTATCAGACTTGTCAGATTTTATTAGTATCAATGGTAAAACTCTTAAAAATTTGGTTGTTAGTAATAATATATATTATGACACTGCAGATAGCAAATTTGTGAGAAAACTACTTCAATCAATTGCACAATCTTGTAAAAATTTTGAAAATTTGTCAACAATTTATGAAGATGAATTAAACCAGGAATTAATAGAAGTACTCAATAATTGTACAAAGTTAAAAAACATTACACTTGCTAATGCTTTTGATGAAATTTATGAACTTGATGGTGATAAAATATTAACAGTATTAAATCAAACACTGCCAAAAAAAATAAGATCAATAATTTCTACTGATGTGGTTTTTAATCTTAATGACTATTCACTAAATATTCTAATGAAAAATTGGAGAGGGCCCAAACCTTTAACAATAAAATTTCATAATAATGATAATGAAGGTGATGCATTAAACAAGATTTAGGATTTTCAAATTGATTAATTCGTGATCCGTGAACATTTGCAAAATTTTCATAACAGAATTTGGTGCAAAATTTTGCAGATCACTAATTAAAATTTTCTGGACTCCAACTTTCACCCCCAACGTAACCACCATTTATGTTTATATAAACTAAAATTGTACTTTTAACACATGATATGAATCTCGAAGTTTAAATATACAAATTTTCAAAGGGACTTTCTTATAAAATATTT